ATACAATGTTGTTCTGTTTTATGATTTAGAACAGCAATAAAATAAAAAGGCACATCCTCCTATTAATCTTTATTTTACTTCAACAGCAATACTTACAAGTTTTATCCTATCCAAATACTTTAATTTTTTACCGATATTGGTGATCAGCTTCAAATTCTCTATCGACCTATCTAGTTTTTTGTGTTAAGGGATGAAGCCGTCGTTTGCTTCTTAGCAGACTGTCTGAGAGCCTACCGTTAAAAGTAGACTTCACTTTTGTTGGTGAAAAGTCTCGATGATTTGTCAATGTGAAAATTGGAAAAAAATTAAAGTATTCGGATAGGATAAAACTTGTAAGTATTCCTGTTGAAGTAAAATAATGATTAATAGGAGGATGTGACTTTTTATTTTATTGCTGTTCTAAATCATAAAACAGAACAACATTGTATTACTCACGTCTATAAAACTGATAACGGAATTTAGTTTATGATTTCTGTTATTGTTGAAGAAGTACTCTGTTTCCATTAACAAACAGCATATTCTGTCGAGAACAGAAAAAAAAGGAACTGTGTATTAATCGTTTAAATAAATATTTGATAAATGCGAAACAATTATGAAAAATAAGAAAACCAGTTTATCAAAATTCATACATAGAAAAAGAACGATTTGACAAAAAGCATTACTCTGCTGTGCGTCGCTTAGGTATTGTTACTAATCTCGAGAATAAAGTAAACATTGCCCCGATAAGTAGCACACACGATAGCCTGTGTGTCATCTTGAGATTCTCAGGCCTCAGGGTTAGATAAGTCCTCGGAGATTCGTTCCACCTACAGAACTATAACAGATAAAAAGCTGAGACTTGAGTCAGTGAAGACATGTTCGAAGAGATCATTCTTAAAACTGGTTCACTATTTGAGTTCTAGAAACGGTGAGCTTGAACTTTTTCTATCAAAAGGTGCCCCTTGATAAACTCTATCTAGAGATCGGACTCTTTCAAAGAAATATATCTAGCTCAACTGTCTTTTACAACAAACAATTGAATACTGCACTCTTCTAACAGCTTCTTCCTATCAAAAGTTAGTCAGCGAAAACACTCGGTAGCATTTCTTTCTTTGCCGGCGATGATAGTATCTTTAATGTTTCTTTCTTCTGTTTTTCTTTAGTTTAAAAATAACTCAATATGCCGGATAACACTCGTATGATGCAAATGGTATTTGGTATAATTCTATTATTTGTCCTCGTTACATTTATTTTGGTTGCTGCTAGCCTAGGTACAATTGTTAAAGTTAATAATAAACAAAATGATTTTAATAAAGCATTAGCAAACATATCTCTACAAATAAACGCATGGCAGTCAACAACCTCTACTACAGCAAGCAGCTCGATACCAACATCTAGTAATCCGACAAGTCAAACGTCAGGACAATCTACAATATACACGCAAACAACATAAATATAATGTTTATCGTAAAATGAATTTACAATACTTTCAAAATCAACATATAAATGTTTTGTATTCTTTGTAGATTAAAAGCTAGAGTGATATCCGCTGAATTCTGATCTATGTTTTTATTCAAAGAATGTTTTTTAAAAGATAAAATACACATGATAATACTCGCAGCCATAATAAAACTGGTAAACGACTATAAATAACATAAAAAGCTTAAATGTCTAAAATAAGATAAATACTATAAAAACCATACATAATAAAAAAAGTATAAATACCTAATATAACATAAATACGTAAAATAACGTAAATAGGACGCGCGTAACTCGAAGTTTCTAAAAAAATTTATTTTTATTCTATTCACACATGGCTGGATAGAGCGGAAGCCATGGGTCACAAATATGGCCTTTTTAACCTCTCTAGTCCACTTCTTCATGGAGAAAATTTCACAACATTGTGAGGTGCTCTTTTTCTGAAAAATCCCAACTTTTCAAACAAAAATGCAGTATCTCAGTCCCTGAGAACTTTGGGAGACCAGCGAGGTGATATTCGGACTCAGCGTGAAAAACTGAATACAAAACACTACTTTTTATAATCCCAACCGTACACTGCGATTTTGGGCGAAATGTTCTATGTAAGGTCTCAAACTGCGACCGGAGCATCTTGCAAACCTATCTCGTCCCTGGGGTTAAAAAATAGAGCCTTCGTTCGTGTGCAATTTGAAGCGTCTTGACACGGAAAATAAAAGTACGTTCTCTGCTTTTCAAAATTGCGTTTCGTTACTGAGGGACTGTATAGAGTCCAGCATTCTGGGAAAAATCAAAATTCTGACACTAATTCGCAGTTTTCTATGATACTTTTATTGCGTGAAAGTTAAGGTCTGGTGGAGAAAATTGCAAATGTGTTTAATGATGTGCGAATTATGCGTATTAATTCTTTGAAAAACATAAATCAAAACACTGCTGAAGAAACGGGAAATTAAGAAGCTACCGGACTTTGGTACTACTGAACTTTCTGCCATCGATGCCGGCGTTAGAATTACTGGACATTACTGCTAACCGACTTTAGCGTTTTCGCTTTTTAGAGATACCATCAGTTACGCTACATGTTTTTGTTTTAAAAAACGAGTATACTACTGGACAGGACATACCTAAGCACAGCTCACACACGGATGACGTCTCAATACCGTCTCCATCGCAGAGGCTGCGTTGAGAACGAACTCTGAAAACATGAAAAATTCAGAAATAATTTAGTGCTGCAGACATTCAGGTTATTTAACCTTATGTCAAAACGTCTGTACGGTGTTTTGCAACAGCGTGGTGATATCACTTGCCTTTTCGTTGTGTATAAACTAACACTCTGTCTTTTTGTACATTTCATATAAAATCGTATACACTAGAAGAGTTTCAACAAATGGGTAAAAACGATTCAAACCAGCGGTTTGTGGCACAATAACGGCTCTCTCGTGTAAAAGCCGCGGGTGTCTTTTTTTCATTTTTCTGAATCGCTGCGGGTATAATAGCGGTTCTCGCCGGTTATTTTTTTGTCAAAAACCGCATAGATCGGCGTGTGCTCAATTGAATAAAATCGCTCCGTTTTCGATCGAACCGCAGCTAAAGGCGGTTGTTTTGGTTGAAAACTGCGGTTCATCGAGGTTAGAAACAACTGCAATCCGCTTAGATCAGCGGTAATTTATCCGAAAGAGAGTGATTTGATCACTCTTTTTCGAAATAACCGCAGATGAAGGCGGTTATCTCTGAATGAAATTTATCACCGGTTTTAGACTGCAAAAAACCTCTTATCACGGTGGTTATTTTTCCCAACATTGTTGACGGAAAACGCTGTCTACGGCGGTTTATCTGAAGAAAAAGGAAGTTTGCGTAGAAACATTTCTCATCAAAAGCTAAGTTAAAGCTAAGGTGAACAAGAACACTTCAAACTGGCGAAGCCCGATGTTGAAGCAATCTCAGTTCTGAACTTTACGCTCCTCTCTACTTTGAGAGAGACCTAGCTCTGCATGCTTCCTTAAAAAGGAGTGTCACTTATTTTCTTAGAACCGTTTTGTCTAGTTACTTCTTCCGTTCTTTGTGGCTCGTGAAGTCTGGCATTAACTGCTCGGTCAATACGGTAGACATATAGGGTTTCAGCGGCAAGGTTCCGTTCTGACTCCGCCGTACTAGTACTCCGACGGTTCATAGCAATACATAATATCCTCGGATACACACGCATCCCTAGGATAGTTTTAAATGAGTTGTATACGTACAAGGTTGCCTTACGGGAAATGAATTACTTTTTAATTTTTTTCATACAAAAATACCTGCTGTGCGCTTATTTAGATCGTATTCCATCGCTTAGTTAAGGCTAACGCCACAGAACGAATTTAAATCGTTCTCTCGTAAACGGGTTCCATTCTGCTAACATGGACCTGTTGCTGAATTTTTGCTTGATCATCTTCCAATTGAGTATGTAAGAGGATGTTGTTGATGTAAAACTTTAAACGGCCCTGAATACAATTCACCAAATTTTGGACGTTTACCAAGTTGTTTAATGAAGACCAGATCGCCGGGTTTATAAGTCGGATCCGCTCTTTGTTGATCATAGCGTTGTTTAGACAATTGTTGTTGATGAATAATGTTACTGTGTAGTCCAGTATTATATGGAAATATGCACGCTGGTAAATACTCATCCCAATTATTAAGATTGTCATCGTGTAATTTTGCTAACTGTGGATAAAATGTTGCATTAAATCGTTGCACCTGTCCGTTCGTTTGTGGATGATATGTTGTTGCGAATGCATGTTTAAATTCCATTAAAAATGCAATTTTTTCCATCAATTCATTTTTAAAATGTGTACCTTGATCTGTGATTATTTTTCGTGGTACCCCATATTTTAGTATAACTTCTTCCACGATGAATTGAGCTGTTGTTGTTGCTGAATTATTTGGTACAGCTTTGGCGATGACATATTTTGATACATAATCTGTTATCACCAGCACATACCGATTGTCCTGTGACGATGGAAGAGACATTGGACCCCAAAAGTCCATTCCGATAACCTCAAAGATTCCATCCGGTGGTGTAATAGGATGTAATTTTCCAGGTAGTTTTCGTCTTCGAATGTTAAATTTGGCACATTGGTGACATGATCTAATATAATTTGTAATTGTTGACATCATGTTGGGCCAAAAATAACGATCTTTTAATTTATACCATGTACGTTTAATGCCAAAATGTCCACTTGATGGATGATCATGGTAGGCAGCCATTACATTTGGAATCATTGATTGCGGTATGTATGGTAATTTAATATGTTCGGCACCACCTCTTGATATAAGTTTATATAATACATCATCAATAACATCATATGAAGCAATCGTTGGATTCTTTTTCACTTGTTCAGTTAGATCTTGAGTGGTTTTATCCTTTTGTTGTTCATATTCTAACGTTGTAATATCAAAATCAAACATCGGGTTTGCTTGTGAAAATTCTCAATTTTCTCCATCAGAACTCAATAAGAATACCATGTTTGGAATCAGAATAAAAGATTGAGTCTACTAATATGTATTTCTACTAATATGTACAGACTACTTTAATGTTTTTCGGATTTTCACGTTGAAAGTTATCGAGATTTTCATCAAAAAATGAAAATCAAGTAGCAATTTTGAATTACACATTAGTCGACTAAAACCAGAATTTTCTTACTCACGAGGGAACACCCCCAGGTGCCCCGCTCCGATGTCGTTCGTTCATACATCATTCGATAGGGGACCTCGAGTAGGTAAAAAGCCTAAAAGGATTTCGGCCGACGGCTTTTCCTTCGAAACTTACGAACAGTTTTCTGATTTTC